TCCTACACGTGATACATACAGCCCGGCCTTCCCCTGTCCTACACGTGATACATACAGCCCGGCCTCCTCCTGTCCTACAAGTGACACATACAGCCCGGCCTTCTCCTGTCCTTCACGTGATACATACAGCTGGGCCTTCTCCTGTCCTACAAGTGACACATACAGCCCGGCCTTCTCCTGTCCTTCACGTGATACATACAGCTGGGCCTTCTCCTGTCCTTCATGTGATACATACAGCCCGGCCTTCTCCTGTCCTACACATGATACATACAGCCCGGCCTTCTCCTGTCCTACAAGTGACACATACAGCCCGGCCTTCTCCTGTCCTACAAGTGACACATACAGCCCGGCCTTCTCCTGTCCTTCACGTGATACATACAGCTCGGCCTTCTCCTGTCCTACAGTGATACATACAGCCCGGCCTTCTCCTGTCCTACACGTGATACATACAGCCCGGCCTTCTCCTGTCCTACACGTGATACATACAGCCCGGCCTTCTCCTGTCCTACACGTGATACATACAGCCCGGCCTTCTCCTGTCCTACACGTGATACATACAGCCCGGCCTTCTCCTGTTCTCTGTCACCAAGGCCTGCGAATCATGAATGTTTGGCTGGAATTTTCAGGGAGTTTCATTTTGTACTTCTAGAGGTTTGTTGATTTCTAGATGTTTTAATGATGCATTCTGTAATGTTTCTCATAAAAATAACAATTGGTAAAGTTATACCTCTCCCCCCCTCCCCCCATCAGGTATTACATTTTGGAAGAAGGAGACGCTGGAAAAGGATGTCCAGACAACATCCCAGGAGAACACCTGCTTTGACATATTAGCATCGGACACCATGGCTGATAAATCGTCCGCATTAAATATTAAGACTTCCTTGAAAGCCAGTGTCCTCTCTAGTCTGATACATGTTGGTGGATCTGCTAATTTCCTGCACGATATGAAAACGTCCAAAACACAGGCCCGGATTACTCTGAAATATTGTAGAAGCACAAGGTATTCCCAGCTCAGCATGAACCATCTGAGTCCTGGGAACCTATCTTATCACGATGGGTTTGATAAAGGAATCGCAACTCATGTGGTTACCGGGATTTTATATGGAGCCCAAGCTTTTTTTATATTTGATCAAGATGTCAAGCCAGAACAAAATGCTATGGATGTACAAGGAAATCTCGAAGCAATGATCAGGAAAATACCCCAAATTGCAGGAAATGCCCAAATAAACAGCACAGTGAAGGAAACAGTTTGTAAATTTAGATGTAAATTTCATGGGGATTTTGCTCTTGACAGAAATCCCGTGAATTATGAGGATGCCATTAATATTTACGCCAGCC